TGTGTAGCTACATATCTCATGGCTGAAGAGGTTTACCACTGGAAGATAATCTCTGATGGCAGTTTTGCCACCAGCTTCTAAGGTTTCTCATGTGATCCTTACTAAACTGTCATTACTCTGTACACAGAGGAAGGATAGAGACAGTGCTTAATCGGGTCCTAAGTTTCAAAGGCCAGTGGGTATGAAATCGAGGGCTAAGGCAATGCCACTGACTAAAGCCGACTGCAGGCTGCACCACGGGACACCTGGGCATGGTTTGCATCGGGAGTGTATAAACACCCCTCCTCCTCCTCTGCCTAAACCAGAAGGGGCCATGTCCACATCCAAACAGCCGTGGAAGGTGCCCTGGTATCGGTGTCAGCCACAGCTGGCGGTGCGGACAGCCGAATGGCCCGGGGGGCTGCGGGCACACGCTGGGCCCCACGCTCAGCCCCACTGGTGGGCACAAACAAAACTGAGGGGGCTGCTCCGCAAGCTTCTTGGCAAGCACCTTGCCAGAGCTGAGCTCTTCATGTTCAATCTAAGAGGGCCTCAACTGCCTGGATCCCTCTGTATCACTCCTCTGGTTGTTTCTACAGCTTCCAGTATTTCTACTATTATATATAACCTGAAATTTGTTGTGTATTTCCTTTTAGTGGCCGGTTTGGGTTATGGTTAGATGCAGATTTGTATCACGGGCGAAGCAACTCCTGCAGCACCTTCAATAATGACATCTTATCTAAGAAAGAAGATTTCATAATACAAGATGTAGAAGTATGGACATTTGAATGAAATACTGACTGCCTTAAGGACTGGATCCATTAGGCACTTAAAAGCTAACTAGAAGGTGCAGGCTGCCTCACAATGTTACACGCTTTTTCTTCAAGTTTGTACCAGAGCATGACCACACAAAAACACCCCAACCAACCAACCCAAGAAAAAACAAGAGCTGGTTTTGAGAGGCAGTAAGAGATCAGTCTGAAGTGTTTTTTACTTCCTCCTCCAACACTTCTCCATCGAAGATTTGATGCTTATGAAAACATTCATGGTGTATAAGTTGAAAACTTTTTCTGTAACTGTGAAGGAGATACTGTGGGAAAACTATAACTATCTAGTACATTCCGTGTGTATTTATGTTCAATGTACAAATGCTAACCAAAAATAAAAGGTTACTTAACCAAAATCTACAGCATACTGTTTGCCATGGAAAAGAATCAGAAATAGGTGTACACAGCACTTAAGGGAACATGTTTATAAAATCTTTTTATTTATTATTATTGTATAGCAGATTTTTTTTGTAAATGTATTAGCTATGAGTTTTTTCTTTAAATGTTTCAAATCTCAATTTGATAAATAATAATTGTTCATGTAGGTTTCTTATGCACTGTTGTTTATTCTGGATCAATTTATTTGATTTTTGAAGTTAATTTTTATATTTTTATTTTGTAAATGAGATTTGGGTTTCATTTTACCCTAATTAGAGGGTTTGTTTTCTGGCAGAAACACGAGTGCATAATTCTGTTTTGGTTTTTTTTTTTCTGGGAAGAAGGAGAAGGTGGATAGTGCTTCTTATTAACTCTGCTGCCACATTCCTGCTAATAGATTATTATTTTGGCAGTGTATGGAGACACTGGGCAAACTGCCATCTGGTATAGACTGTATCAGCTCTGTTGCAGTCAACAGAATGGGGACAGCATGCTCTGAGCATCTGCCCTAGTATTACTTGACTGTTTACGAAGGACATTTATTTCTAAGAGAGGATTGTTTTTCTGTATCACCACCAACTGATTCAAAATAAGCCACCCACTGTGCTTCTATGACCATTTCTCTACAAATTGAAGAATTAGTTAAGGAGAAAATATAATTGTGGTTTAGAGAAGAATACTATTTCCCTAACAAGCCCAGGTCATGTTAGTGTAATACTTGTTTTCTTAGTAATCATATATATGATTTCTTTCCCAAGAAAGACTTAAAACAACGGGCTGGTTTAGGATTTGACAGGCAACTAAATATTCTTGTTTTTCTTTAAATAATCAGATCATCCCCCCCGACAACTCTGAAGATAAAAGACTGAATGTTACAAAATTAAAATTTCAGTAAATAGGGAGAGTGTGACAGAGGACTGGCAGTCTTCATTGTTTGCTAAGGAATTCTGCTTTCCCATTAAGCTGTGGTTTTGTTTACACAATCCAGGCCTGACCAACATTAGGATGCTGTCTTGCCCTTAGACTTGAATGTGCCATTGTCCTGAGAAAGGCAGGTTTTAGAAACAGTAGTCTGCTTCCACGCGTTAAAACAGTACAGCCTAATTTTGGAATATGAGAAACAGAGTAATATACAACTCAATTTAGTTACTGCTCCTCCCTTTTTCAATAGATTAAAAAAAAAAAAAAAAAAAAAAGAAAAAAAAAAAAAAAGAAAGCAAAGTGGTTTCCTTTCAAAAGCATTACTAAATCTTAATCCTGCACAGAAATTTCACAGTCTAAACCCAATGCTATATACAGTAAGCCTGTAACACACTGCACGTGAGCTTTTCACACTTCCCTTCTATGTGGTCTACTACAGCCATAAATAAATTGGTAATGCTGTAAAATATTTTGGAAGTAGCTAACAGCATAATGCTTTGAAAATACCAGGAATATCTAATCCTGTTTGCTCTTCTAAATGATGGCAGACTACTTAATAGTTAAAAAAACCCACAACCCAAATCAGCCAAGTTCAACATTTTACATACATTTCACTACTGCTACCTACAACTTACTCCATTATATTATCCTTGTCAGAGCATATCTAAACGCTGTGGTCTATATTCAAAACAGTGTTGTTCAATCAAAATTCTGTGACCCTTGAAACTATGAATATTGAATATATGTAATGCAGTGCTATCACAATATTTTCAATAAAGGAATTTATGCATTCAGAAACTTCTTTCAGATGTTTTTTTATTCACAAACTTTAGTACATTTTAAAGATTAAAAGATGAAGCTTAAGTTACAGGTTATGTTGACAAATACCCCTCAAAAAGAGAATTGCAGCAATATAATGTTTTAGAAACATGGCTAATGGGATTGGAGATTTGGGGTTTGGTTGTTTTTTTTTAGTATGGTATTGCATCTCCTAAAACAGACTTGTGTTTTGAGTTTACTCAGGGACAGACTGACAAAGCGCTAATACCAGTAAACAGTTAAGCAGTTAACCTAGTAGTTCTTGTTGCTTCTCTCAGCTGTAGTGAATGGCATCTGTTCCCTCATCTTTTTTGACCAACCTGTTCCCAGAAGTCAAAGTCCATTTACATAATTTCTGTATGCACCCTTTTTTATATTGCTAACTGTTCATGTATTTTTATTTCTTGCCAAGCAAGACACAAAGGCACGCAATGTCTTAAAGGTGCTTGGTTCTTGGCTTTTACTGTTTTTTTTTGGTATAGAGGTGGCATTAAGGAAAAACAAACTGTGACTACGCATGAAACAGAACAAGTATGCTACCTGTGAACCTTGCTTTGAGTGAAATGGCAGTGAGAATTTTCTTAATGTAAAGTAGGAAAAATTAAGGTTGCTAGTCATTTTTCTCTTGGAGAACAAAAGTTTGTTCTTGCAACATGAAGTGTATGTACTTTAGTGGTACTCGCATAAATATTTTGGATTCAGTACAGTGTTGAAATGCTTATTCACAGTAAGGCTTGTAAGTACCCAGGTACGTGCAGATGTTTGATTTGGTGCTGGTTTCAGTACAGTTTTTGCACTGGCTGTTTTGTACAAAGGTGGCTTTAGAGCAAAGTAAAACCCAGTTACTTTCGGAATAACCCTCACGTGTAAACAAACTCAAGATTTCACTTGCCCGGTTTACAGCAGAGAAAATGAGCTGGTCAGCGCATTACAAGTGAGCTGCTTCAGGTAGAACAGCAAACCGTGTCCTATTTGTACAAGCACAGCTTGCTTGCTCTGAAAGAAACACATTTTTGGGAAACCTCATTCTAAATTTTGCAACTCGTTCCCTCTTTAAACACTGCGGCCTGTCGTCAGTGGGACAAGCGCTTTGTGCTACTGGGGCTGCACGAAGAACATAAACATTGCAATTCTGTGGCCAGGGATTCTGCCGCTCTGCAACTAAAATCTAATGAACAGTGCAAGTGATTTAAAAGACAAATGATCAAGAATGCATTTTTAGATAATTGACGGTTAGCTACCATTTAGAAATATCCTCAGTTAGCTTTGGAAGCAGCTCATACAATGAGGGTGGTGAGACCCTGGCACAGAGAGGCTGTGGCTGCCCCCTCCCTGGAAGGGTTCAGGGCCAGGTTGGACGGGGCTGGGAGCCCCCTGGGCTGGGGGAAGGGGGCCCTGCCCGGGGCAGGGGGGTTGGAACTAGGTGGTCTTTAAGGTCCCTTCAACACAAACCGTTCTGTGATCCTATGACCTGAATGCGCTCGGAAAGCGTTCACTTAATTTTACTCCCCGTTTGCACCTTTTTTTTTAGTGAAACTTACTGTGAGCAGACTTCATCTCTTTTTACGGATGCCTCAGGGGTTTAACTCCGTCGGCGGCTGCAGTTTCGCTTCAGAGCACGAAGGGAACCCCGCCCTTCCCCCGCGGGGCGGGCCCTGCCCCTGCCGGCGGCGGAGCCAAAGCGGCCTCCGTTCCCGCGTGAGCTCTGACAGGCTTCATTAAAAAAAAAAAAAAAAAGCAAAAAAGCAAACCAAACCCAGGGTTTAGGTGGGAGTTCGTGCCCGTCCCCCTCAGAGGAGGCAAGCTCCGCGGCCGCGCTGCCTTCCGCGCCAACCGCCCCCCACACACACACACACACACACGCGCCACCGCGGCCCGCGCGCGCCCCCTGGCGGCGCGGAGGGGGCGGGGCGCGGGCCGGTGGGCGGTCCCTTGCTGGGGCGCCTCGCCATTGGTGGCGGGCGACGAGCGCGTGAGGGCACCGCCCCCCCCGCTCCCCCCCCCCCCACCTTTCCCCTCCTCCGCAGCCAAGCGCCGGCAGGGGGCGCGCGCGGCGCCGGCGGAGGGGCCGGGGCCATGGCGGGGGAGGGGGCGGCGGCGGCGGCGGCGGCGGCGGCGACCGAGGGGCGGGAAACCGAGGGGAACGGCGGCGGCGGCGGTGGCTACGATGGCAAGTGCGTGTTCTGCAGGATCGCCCGCCGGGAGGAGCCGGGCACGGCGCTGCTCCCCTGCCAGGTGGGTGAGGGGCGCCGGCCGCCGTGTCCCGCTCCCGCCTCTCGCCGCCGCCGCGCTCCCCCGCAGGGGCGGGCCCGGCCGGCGCCCCGCTGGCGGCGGGGGGGAGAGCGGATTTGGGTGGCCTGGGCCGGGGGGGCGGGTGGACGTCGCCGGTGTTTGACGAGGCGGCAGGCGGTGTCTGCCGCCGTGCTGGTGCGGGCGGTGCTGGGCCCCGCGGCCTGCAGAGGGGGCAGCGCTCCCGGGGGAGCAGAGAGGGACCCGGCGGGGGTGTGGGGGGTGTATTTGCGTGTGAATTTGGGAGCGGGAGATCGAACCCTGAAGCCGTGCGTTTGTCGGCCGCCCGGTGCCAGCCCTCCGTCCCGGTAAGGCTGGCGCTTGGAGAGGCTCGGCGGGCTCGGGGTGGTCTTAAGGGCCCTCAGCTCTTCTGGGGAGGGGGGGTCGGAACATGGGTCAGGGGGAAGATGCCATCTGTACGTGTTGGCACAGCTGCCAGGATCCTTAAAGCTGGCACCGAGGAATCCTGGCTGCAGCTCAACGGAGGGCACGAATCGTGCTCGCAAGTCTTTCTGCAGGCTGGCTCAAAAAATTTCAAGATTTTTGCTAGTTACTTCAAATATAATACTAAGTATTACCTTGACAGGGGGAAGATGAACTTTGTTACCTACTCTTGGCCAGTACCCTCGTCCTAATCAATTTAATACGTTTACATCCTTTTTTAGTATGAAGACCTTGTTTGCTTTAGAGATATCAGACCTAGTGCCCCCCACCACTATTTGGTGGTGCCGGTGGAGCACATGGGGAACTGCAAAACCCTGAAGACAGAACACATACCCATAGGTAAGGCTGTAAGTGTGTGTTTAACCTAGAGGAAAATAATTTTGTACTGCCTTAAATAGTGTGCTGTCAGCTAAATTACACCTTCGAGCACTATTTGGTTGAGGATGTGAGCGTGGAAATAGATGGTATGAGTGAGTGTAAGCAGGGACTTGCCCTTCCTGGGGACTTCCATGTGCTAGTCTAGAATAGCACGTTTGTTTTGTTCAATGCTAAAAAACCCATTGCACTAGTGCATGAAATCTGTTTTGTTTGCATGGAGTATAGATGCCTCTGCACTTTGTTGGAATCGCAACTTTATTTTTAAAGTGTTTATGTGCTGTTTCATTGCATTTACCTAGGTATATATGCAATTCTAAATTATGAAGAATTATAGAAGAATTTTATTAAATGTATATTTTAATAAAAGTGCTACATTATTTTCCAGAAAAAAAGGGAGTGAGAGAAGAGGGAAACGGTGTTACAATAAACTTCAGTAATTCTTGAAAAAATAAAATTCTAAAATATTGAAGCTACGATTTATTGTTAATAGGCTTTTTTTTTTTTTTTTTTTTTCCTTAAGAAAGTATTGTCCTGGAATTTATTTCACAAGAAATGCCTAGCTAAGTGTGTTGAGTAACAGAAGAAACTACAGCCATACATGCATGAAGAGATTCCACCTTAGGGAAATGTACAGGAGATGCAAGAAGAGAGTTACAGCTGTGTGTTTCAAATCTTGCGTCGCTGTACTTCTCTTCTGGAAAAAACTACCCTGTGTTTAGAAACAACTTCTATATGTGTCTGGCTTCAAGACAATTCCTTAGACTTTTGCCTTGAGTTTTTGTGTTAGGGTTGCTTCTTTTCTCAGTGATACAGTAATGAAACTTTGTCCTAGTAATAAGTAGGACTGACAGTTTTATTGTATTTTGATTAAAACTTGTGTACCATCTCTGAAACTTCCTAATTTATGCCAGGCGGCAAGGACCTAGAGATCAAAGTCCTGTAGCTGTGTAGAGATGTAACACTGGAATTAGTGTAAATGTCATCATTTTGACCAATCAGTATTTGTTGGGTTTTTTTATAAGGATGTGGTGATACCTTGGCCTCGGCCAAAGTTCTTAGAATAATAAAACACTTAAAAGCATCATCAGTGTGGACATTGGTAATGGTGGCAATTTTCATGTCAATCATTGCACAACACTGTCTTGACAATCTTTGTTTGATTATGAGTAGTTACAGTACTTGTATTTTGAAAAACCTGTGTTTGTGATCTCCGTGTAATCAGTCTGTTGAAGTTAATATTCTGAAGAATACCTTTTTTAAGTTACTTGATGGCATATGATGTGTAAAATACTCCTTAAACATTGAATGAAATTTATTTGTGTTTAATAGTGAAGAGAATGATGGAAGTTGGAAAAGCTGTTCTCCAGAAAAATAATTTTAGTGACTTGACTAATGTAAGGTATGTAATGGAAACCTTCTCTGTTTACTGAGTATGTTTTTTACTTTTCAAAGTATTTTAGAGATGGTGGCAACAACTGCAGTATGATTTATTGAAGAAATCGAGTCTTTATTCACTTATCACATGACTTCTCAGGTAGAATGTGCTGGCATTGAATATAAACTCTTTTCTTCTGATTCATTTCCAGCACAGATTGCTTTCCAACTCTGAGATTCTTTCTTGACCACATCTTGGGTTAGGGAGGATACTTCAAACAACTTATCTAAAAGGCTGCTCTATAATTACTTGCTGAAAATATGTTTTAACTCCTAGATTCCAGAAGAGAGGTAACCTTTGTCCTGTTTAAGCAGGGCACTGCCTTGCTTTTCAGTCATACCTGATTTCAGTGCTTGCACCCTTTAGTTTAAACCAGTGCCTTTGATAGCCAAAGTAAATTGTAATGTAATTTAAATAGTGTAGAGTATAGCAAGCTTGGCCTTCATGATGAGAATAGGTAAAAACTACAGTCATCTAGTGACAGGTGGCCTTCCAGCTGAAAACTAGATATAATGCATTTAAGATACATTGTATTTTTCAAATCCCCCTTTTTAACAAAATGTATACTAAATACAGAGATGTGAAGAAGGAATTTAATGAGCTTTTGAAGGGTTCCCCGAGTGCATAATTAAAGGAAAGGACATACTTTTGTTCCTGCCTTTATGTACAAGGAAAATGCAATGAGTCGGGTTACTAATTCGGTTGATCATGTTAAATAACTTGCGATGTTCCACTTCTTCCTGAATTAACAGCATCAGTATTTTTCACTTGTTTTCCTTTTCTGAAGAATGGGTTTTCACTGGCCTCCATTCTGCTCAATATCCCACTTGCATCTTCACGTCCTGGCCCCAGCCAGTCAGCTAGGATTCTTATCCAGACTCATTTACAGAATCAATTCCTACTGGTTTATCACGGTAAGTGTAATGCAGATGAGCTTCTTGGTAGGTTTTCAATTGAAAGCTGAAAATGTGATGTCTTTCTAAAAATTCTTTGAGCAATTATTTTTGTCATTACTGTAATTAATAATTAGGTATATATTGCGTTAACTATTTGAGAAAACATAATGGTAAAAACCTTAATGCTTACTAAAGGGAATGGAGTGCCAATAACATCAACAGCAAACTGTACGGTAGTTCTGGGTCTAATGTGTAGCTGAGGTTAATGTGATGTGTTTCTGAGGACACTTTGTATTTGTTCTTTAATTTAAAATGATATATTCAAATGGGATGGACTGTACTGTACATACCCTGGTTCATCCAACTGAGGTGAAAAACACGTCCACCTAATGATTGCTTCTGTCATTTCACATGGTTTTTGTCATCTTGTCATCTTTAGACTAACACAAGTGTCAGCTTTACAAAACTGTTGTTTGTACTGATTTATGTCAGTAGAGATAAGCAATGAGATTGAACTGGCACTGACTAAATCACTCTTTGAAAATCCCTCTCGAGGGCTAAAGCTTACTCTCACTGCTTCAACACAGCAAAGAACCTGTCCTTGCAACGTAGCCGCAGCATCCTGCTGCCATTGTGCAGCCCCAAAATAAGGTGCTTAAAAAGGTCTGTCTCATCTAAAGAATACAGACAGCCTCTTAAAGAGAAAAAACTCCGCTTTTTCACAGTGGTACCTTGCAGGAGATCTCACCTAGCTTGAAAAAAGTCAGTGTGCCTCTGCTGTACTGTAGAGCGTCACACAGATATTTGGTCCTCAAATAAGTTATAGCTGTGTAGTTTTACTGCTTGCTATCTTGGATTAGCTTAGGGAAATCTGTAGCAAGTTTGGTTATCCAATATGAATGCACTTCAAAAGATAATTTGCTTTCTTGTCAAGTTGGAAAATGTTCTTGAGTTGTTTTGGGGTGTTGTTTTGTTTAGGTTTTTTTTTTTTTTTTTAATGGTTTGAATGTGATATTTGGTTAAGAATACAAAACAAGATTCAGGTAACTTAATTTTCAGTTGCTTCATCCTTTGTCTAGCTTTATTTGCAAATAAACTGCAACAGCTACTTAACTTCTGTTAAGTTATTCCTACCCTAAGTAGCTGATGGCATTTTTACTCTGTGTGTTTAAGACATGCCAAATTTTTAACATGGTTCCTTTGGAGTTCTTAATAAAACCTCAAGTACTAGTTCAAAATAAGATTTATTCAGTGGGACTGGCAAAAAAAAGGCTGACAGTAAACTGATTTATTTCAGAAGTGCTCCTGTTAGTCTCCCTGTGCCCAGTTTGGCCTGCCAGAACAACGCTGGCAGGCTTCCTTCTGCCCGGAGCCTTTCTGAGGGCTCTGTGGGCTGCTGCTGTTACACATACAAAATGCAGCTGTCCCAGTTATGCACTGGATGCATAAATGGCCATATGATAAGAAAAGTACGTGTGAGCATGGATGCACATCTCCTGACATGAAGCACATACGTGAATGCAGCGTATGTAGCTGTGTGGAGCTGGTCGGGTGATGAGAGGCCACAACACACTGTTCTGAAGCATCTCCCAAAGAGTTCCACGTCTTACAGCTTGGTGGTTCTGAGCACTGCTGTCTTCTGAGGTCTTTAAAACCATACTGCTTTAGCTGCTATTTATTTGCTCAAACATCCTCTGAGTTTCATAGGTTAGGTTTCCTTTTCTGATCACCTAGTAGGAATTTGGAAACTGTGAAAAAGAGTCTGGTGTTTAAAGCAGTTATTGTATTCTGCTTCTGTTGTATGCTTCGTAATAATGAAAAGCAAATGCTCTGCCAGTGTCACTGTTTTTTAAATGGAATTTTCAGTAAACTGAAGGTCCACACTGTAGTTAATGCATTGCTTTCTCTCTTTCATAGGCTGAACAACTGATTGAGCGACTGCAAAATGAAAATGCTGCCAGTTGAAAGCACTTTTAGCCTTGTGTTGCTAGCCAGTTTGTCTTTCAACTCTGATTTAAGGCTGTACAGTTTGATGTTGCCAATAATATACCAGGATAAAAAAAGCTTTAGATCCTTATGAGGAAAAACACACAGAATTTGTAGCTGCCAACCTAATTCTCCTATTTGAATACTTGAGTCTGTATACTTCTCTGACAATAAGGTGAGGTATTTTAATTATAGTTTAGTTAAATTAGTGTTTGTATATATATACATACATAACACACACATGTACATGTGCAAAGAACTTTTGCTAGTAAAAGGCAAGGAATAGCAGCAGAACGTATTGCAACTAAGGCAACAAGTTGCTACTAACAGCAGGTACATGGTACCAAAGGGAATATTTGTTGCAGAATCAAGCTTTTATTTCAAAGATGCATTGTTCTGGGATTGCAAGTAACATTTAAAACACTTAAATTTCCATCTGTATTAATATGATATGTTACTTAGTAAGTACATTGCTGAAAGTACACTACTAACTTTCTGGTGTTAAGCCACTTTAGTATATTACCTGTCTTACTTGCATGACAGTGACATAATAAATGTTAATATAATAGGTGCCCAAGATGTGATAATGCTATATAACACAGAATATAGTTTAAATATATGTCTAAGTGGTTGTATGTTGGACTTAATGATTGTTTCCCTCTTATGTGCACAAAATTTTAAATTGGTTATTGTATGTTTACAAAACAATGTGAAGAGTATAGAAAGGAATAGATTTAATATACTGCTCTTCTGCATGGTAGGAAAAAAATCCAAGTTTTTAGATGGTTCTGGTATTGTTCTCACTGGAAGTCCCTTGGAGATTACTGATGTCTTGGCTAAATTTGATTTATAAATGAAGCCATAAGTGAAACAAGTCTTTAGTGCAGGGAGTAAGTGGCAGGCTTGCATAATAGCAATCAGATTTTAATTTGGAATAGCAGGAACTCAGCCCAAAATTGGAACGTGTTGTGTTGCTTAAGGAACCTGCTGAACATTTGCCTTTGCTGTAGGACTAATCAGTAACCCTAGCGCTCTGTTTTTCAATACCATATTAAGGCAGGCTATTTGGAAATTTAAAACTCCAGAAAACACGGAGTGGATTTTCTCTGTTCACAGAGCGTATCTCTTGGTGCCTAACTAAACAAGTGTCCTTGGCTGATGCATTTAGATGCAGCTGAGGTGATGATGGTCTGTTGCACCTGCAATCTTCCCTAAACGCCATCTCAGTGTTTTCCACTGATCCAGCACTGTTGCCTTAGCAGTAGGATGTATTCTAATAGTCTTACAGTAAACTGTACACAATACTTCAGGAAATTTACACCCTTACAAAGAACAACATTTTCTGCTCAGAAGAGTTTCCACCTCTCTCTTCTGTAAGACTTTGTTTCTAATATCTTGTTATTCTTATTAGTGGGCACTCACACGTGGTTTGCAGCTCTTTATGGTTTTAACTTGTACTATTAGGTAGGAAGAGTGTGAATTAAAGCCACTGAACTTTGACTACTTGTGTGCAGTGGAGGTTTCACAAAACTGGGAGCCAGCTCAAATATCGGAATATTAAGATCTTTCAAGAGTTAATACTCAGTAAGCATTCTGATTTGTAATTAATTTATGTAACTGTACTTAACTGTGACATCTAATATTTAAATTACCACCATGAAATATTGTCGAAGTGCATTAATAAATAGAATAAACGCAAATCTTTGAATCGTCTTCCAGTGCAATGGAATAGCTGGATGTGGGGGTTGACCCTGGATAGCCCTTTGCTCACTCTTCACCCCTGACCCCAGTGGGATGGGAGAGCGAATAGGAAGCACAAAAGTGAGAAATCTCCTGGGTCAAGATACAGACAGTTTAATAAATGAAGAGGAAATAAAAAAACAAGGTATGTGATGCAAAGGTAATCAATTACTCATGACCTCCCACAAGCAGGCCAGTATCACTGGCTGCTCCCACCCTCTATAAAGAAAACCCACCCCTCCTCAGCTTTTATTGCTGAGCATGACATACAGCGTGGGATATCTCTGCTGCTGGTCAGTTGGTGCTGGGTGTGCAGGTTGTGGCCCCCTCCCAGCTTTTTGCCCACTGGAGGGGCACAGCAGGAAAAAGAGACATCCTTGGCGCTGTACAGGCACTGCTCAGCAGTCGGCAGAACACGGGTGTGTTATCAGCACTGTCAGCCACAAACACAAAACACGCCACCTTACGGGCTGCTCTGGAGAAAATTATCTCCATCCCAGCCAGTCCCGGTAAGTTGTCAAATGCACACAGAAGCACAAGGGTCAGCTTTTACACCTTGCACTTGAGAAGGGTCCTGTGAATGACAGTGAGAGTGGAAAAGTAAAAATCAGGATATAATCTAGCTTCCAAACCTGCCGATGAGCAAGATGGGGAATTCAACTTGCCTCTTGACAGCAACAGAGAGGCCTCAAACCAGCTCAAGCAAGGAAGCATTTGGCAGAGCCACGTTAATTACTGAGATGAATGTTCAGTACCTCATTAGTGTTTTTCAGCATAGAACTGTGTTCCATTTTCCTTCTGTATTGACAAGCATTCCTGGACTCGGCAGATAATTTTTTTAATTAGGCTGCGAAATACTTTCTGAAAAGCCTATCCTAATCCTTTGAATATGTCTCAGAATTACTGGCTAGCCCCTGGAAGAGGCAGTGGGCAGACCCCATTAACTATGTCACCCTCTTCTACAGCAGCTTTATAGCATCACTTTAAATCTTCCAAAGTCATCCGTAGAGCTTTCCAGTGAGCAAAGACCAATAGAATACTCTTGGAGGGTGAACTCAACAGCTCTTACTCTCCAAGAGCCTGGAGAAGCAAAGGAAAGTTGCTTAGCCACTGCCTCTGGCTCTGTCGTTCTTTGATCCAGTATTAGCAGTCCTGAGAAAAGCTGCTTTTTTGAATGCATGTTTAGGAATGACAAAGCTTTATTTGTACTCTTTTGCTCAATTGTTTCACATAAACTCCCAACCTAATGTGAACCCAGAGAATAATGCGTTTATGCTGCAGTACTAACTGTCTCCTCTGAAAGGATGGAACAGATACACGTACAATGCTGTTAAATGTACAATTTAAAAATTTTGTGTTTTGACTAAGGACAGCATTTTCTATGTGATTAAACTGGCAAGAGCGCCTCAAGCTATTCTGAAGTCTTCTTAACTGTGAGTTGCAAATAAAAGCACAAAAATAGGAGCAAACCAGTGAAAATTGTATTTGAAATTTGACAAACTTGGAAACAATAAAATGCTGCATAAAAACTCACTTGCTGTCATTTCAAACTGAATGTGCATCATCTGTTGCACTGTTGAAAGTGCTCTCAGTGTTTGACAAGACAAAACACAGGCAATGCCTATACAATGTACAGTCCAAAACTGATGCAGAATTCACAGGCTTCAAGTGGAAGAAGAAAGACCACTGGGGGAGCCTGCCACAAAGAAGTGAAGTTTAGGAGACATTCGAAGAGCTGAAAGCTACTTTTAGATGCTCAAAGTTTCCTTACAACTCCAAACAATCTGTAATACTAAAAAAATCTCACATGCTACAATTTTTGTAAAGTAGTTTAATAAATTCTGTTTCAATTACTCTAATGGGTGCCTGTTGCAAAAAAAAAAAAAAAGTTGCATGTTGGAAAGTTTAAATTCCTGTTTAATCTGTAGATGCTAATCTAATCTCCACATCCCAGATGAGGAAGCAGAATTTTGTAAAACTTCTAAACCAGTAGCTAAATTGGACTGTGTGCGTTAGATATGATCCATCTGTGACTATACAGGCTTCAGGAGTAGTTTTTATTCTGGAGCATACCAGCAGACAAGCTGTCCAATTGTATTATCGATCTTTCAGACTTCTTTTGAAATACTGGGTATTGCTGGAAGCAGGAGATTGGGTTTGTCAACCTGTGTGCTGATCCAGTTTGGCAGCTCGGTGTTTGTAATCATTGCGTGGGCACACAGATTTCAGTCACTCTTTAGGGGATACTCACCTAAAGCTGGCAGGTAGGAAACTTGACCCCATAAATTGTTCGAAAAAAAGATCTCTCTATAGCATTTTTTTTTTTTATAATAACCCTTGGTTTTATTCAAAATATCATGATAGGGCAAGCTTTTTCTATTTGCTTACATAGTGGGTAAGACCATTTCATTAGGGCTTGCTCTGCTTCCATCTGTTTTGATCAGAGGTGTGCTTAAAGCTCTTGTAGATGTGCTCAAGTGATATTTAAACCAACCAGCAGCAGGAGAGAGCGCAGCAGAGGCCCTGCAAGCATCTAACACTAACTACTTACATGACAGTGGAACCCTAGATTCCTGACATTTAATTATTTGAGCCAGCCTCAATTAAGGACTACTAAGTTTACATGAGCTGGACTTGCATCTCAGAGTGGTCAGGCTACACTGCCTCAACTGTGTGTCTTCTATTGTATTATTTGTACAATGTCTAGTAATGTTTTATTTTTCCTGAAATTGCCATCCTGTGAGTCAGCTGGCAACACTTGAACCACCTGATACTGCTTCTTGCAAGCTATGAACTAATGCTACAGCAGAACTGACTGGATTTCAAAATTGTTAGAATTAAACAAACCACATTCCATTGCTGTATTATAAAAAGCTTGATTAGTTTTGAAATCAAAATGTATGTACAGGCTTTATCTAATGGGAGCTGAAACCCACTGAGGTGTGTGTGCTCATGCCATTTCTGCAAGAAGTGTTTTTCTAGAAAACAAAGCACTTCAGGTGTGTTAAGATCACAAATTATATGTCTTGTTTTCAGCTGTAAGGCATAGATTTGCTTAGGAAAGAGGAGTGGATCTGAAAACTAAAGGAACAGACAGAAGCAGTGCCTGGTGCAGCACATATTCTGCAGTTTCCAACGCAGTAAAATTACGTGGTGCTTAAAATCCACCCTTTTGTTTCCCCATCCATGCTCTACCTGCATCTGATTCTCCTGTCCGCCAGATACACTTACTTCAGCACATTAATTTCTTCCCTTTTTTCTATTTATTTTTATTTCACTAGGAAAAGGAGGCAAGGGGATAATGAAATCTGTATTTTTAATTGCTCAGTCAAAAGGCTGATTTTGAAGCAAAGCCCCACTGGATGAAAATGTTAAAATAAGAAAACCATTATTTTAAGCTTTTTGAAAAAAAAAAAAAAGTTGTTTTTGTAAATAGCATAAAATAACTATCACTTTTATGAAGTTCATAATTTATATTAAATTTAAATATCCTTTTGAGGCAAGAGAACATCTTACTTTAAAGATCCACCAAGTAGTGTAGTTAATACCACATAAAAGCTTTTATTTGCACTGGTAAAAAATAGAACTTTATATTTCTAATTATACGGTTTTCTTGGTGGGAACTATTGTAAATATAGCTCACGATTATTTTTAATAGCATTATTACAACTATTGTATATAACCAATCCTTTTTTTTTTTTTTTAAAACTTAGGAAAAGTTCCCCCCAGAAGAACCATGAAGGAAATTGTTATCGGTCATCTTTCAGTCTCAGTTTTAACTAGCTGATCATTTTTTGTCCCAGTTTGAAGAACTCACAACCGTGCTCTGAAAGCACAGCTCTGCCTCAGATAAACAAGGTACGGGACTGCACCGCTATAATTTTCTTTATGCATTTGGCACTACAGGATCTCTAGTCTCCTCCTCTTGTACGCAACATTGCTGCTTTCTGGTGAAACAAGAGAGCAAGCCTTGTGTTTTTCTTCCTCTCAAATGCACAGTGCCTCAATATACAGTTCCAGCTGTCTTTCACATCTTTACGTTGTGGCACCCTACTTTCTATTAAGGGATATTAGGTGAATGTACCAAGAAGGCTGAAGAGCTTTGTGATCTTCTAGGGTATGACATGGCATTAGCAGAACAGAACAGGTAAAAATGGTGTGAGATACAGAGGAAAAAGAACAAGAGACACAGAAGGTCTGGAGAACGTATGATGATAAGGACAATTAAATACCAGGACTAGTGCAGCTTTCCAAAATACATGCAAGATGCAACTAGTTTAGGAACCATCAAATATATTTGCTGTGATATTTCTGTAAATTCAGGAATTTTCACATACTTCATGCAAGTAACTTCCATTTATTCAGTTTCACCATGTGAAAATAAGCTAAACTTTTGTTATATATCAGACTCTTTTTTGAACAAGTATATGAATGCCCGTAAGTTTCACATTCCATGCTTTACACATCAAAATCCCACACACAGTGAGTATTTCACAACCTGCAAGAATCAGTGATGTATGGTAGCATTAGTAATTTTTACTTTCAGTAACCTAAAGCAGTAAGCCAGTGGAGATATCTGAAGAACTGTGGTACACTTGGTAGTAGATGATAATAATGAAAAGACAATCCAATGTCAGCACAATAGATTAGCTCATTATTTGTGATTTCTGTCCAAATCTCTACCATTTTTATGAAAATATTTTTTACCCTTCTCACCCATTTTCTCTCCTGCTCATGTCCCCGTAAGTAGCTGAATTGAACTTCTGTAACAAAAACCTCTCTCAAGATGGTATCTAGATATGTTTTTCCAAATGGAACCGTGCAGCAGAATTCACTAGATGACAAAGCCTTATTCTAGTAAAGTAATGATCACATCATCATCTTTTCCTTGCCAAAGCATTTCACCTTCAAAATGAACCAGACCGTGTTTTCTGGCTCTTAACAAGATTCCCACTACTTTATTGGAAATAGTCACATATGTTTCAAACAGCTTCCCGAATGTCACACTCACATGTCCATCTTCTCCCACCTCACCAGTGCTTCTAATGATCAAGCACAGCTCTTCTACTTCCTTACCCACGTGTGAGTGAGCATCTTTCCCTCTCTGCTCTGTCTGAGACCCTTCGGGGGGTCTCCCGTAGGTAGGATCTCCTCTGTGAGTATTCACGGGTTTAGATGCAAGCCTGTCATTGCTGCTGAACGGGTTCTTTCTCTGATACTCAATGTGATCCTCTGCCCAGGTCTGCCAACTTTTCCTCAAGTCACCCACTGCACTGGTAGCTTTAGCACTCTGCCTTTTATCTTCTTCCATTTCTTGTTTTATGGCAGGAAATGTTTTATGGCAGGAAACAAATCAATGACTTGTCCTAACTGTGGTTCCTGGGTGCACTGTCAGCTGTGAAGGAAAAACAACAAATCAGCCTGATAATTTTTGGAAGAGTTTTGCCCGAGTGAGAAGCAAGGCTGCTGCAAAAGACGTATAATATCGGAAGATTTTGTAAAGTCCGACAATAATTCTACAGCAATGAGGAAAGTGAAAGTGATTCAGCTGAAATTCAGAAGTAATTTTGTAACACAGGGCAGTAAATTATGCTTACCAGGTTACACAGCAAACCGCCGGTCCCGCAGTTACCATACATAGCCCGCAGCCTCCGTGCAACACGCCCGTAGCGCAGTACTTACTCTTCGTGCAACAACGCCTTTTAAACAACTTTATCCTTACAGCTGGCAGCCCCGCAGACTTGCCCAACAGGCTGATGCAGTGCTGGCTGACCTGTTCAGCACAGCGCTTACTGACAGGTCAGAGAGAAAACCTTTCCCTAGGAGGCACCAACCCACAGACAGGGGTGGGCAGCCTTTCTCCTGCCTGCACACTGATTAAAGGTGGACGAACTCACGCTGTGCTGACCAGGTTCCCACAGACTGTGGCAGTTACTACGCACAGAAAATCTGGAGCGGAGATGCTGATACGTGGTGGGAGCAGGGGGGAATCTTCCTCATCAGGCACTGAGAAGTAGAAATCCAGTTAGCGAGCGCGGTGCTGTCTGCAACTCCCTATTTAGCGAGGAAGACAAAACCAGAATAGATAGTTCACCCTTAAAAGGCTGTGCTGACAGCCATGGCTGCCTGCTAAAACCTCCGGGCAGGCTGCAGGCAAGGGGCTTGCACTCCAGAGGTGACACTGCCCAGCCCCTCTAGGCACACCGACTGCCTGCCACCTATCAAACCACATGGACTATCTGTGCAATATGTCATTATTTTGATGAATTAGGGACAGACTGTTATATACCTATAGAGATCCGACTGTGGTATAACCATGTCTTTGCTGGATCGTATACTTTACCTGTTGAAACACACAGAGTTCTCATGTAGAGCAGTAATAGAGCTGATACTTTTCTAACAGACATTTGGAGATAAAACAGAGGATTAGCGCTGCCTTTTCTATGGGGAAATGGATAGAAGTGCAAATTCTGAACAATGAAATCACTGAATTACAGGTCAGGTATTTCTATATTTTAAAAGCATTGTTGGTTTTTTTTTTTTTGCAAAGTAAGGTTTCATGGGTGTTTGCCCATATACACACATTGATGCTCCTGCATGTGAACCCCGTGAGCAGTGACAGAGCTCCCTCAGTGCCCCAGCAGAACACGCAACTCACGGTCAAAACCCACTTGTGTTGCCCTTGGGTCTAGAAGCGTGCATGGGGTGAGTAGAAGGTGGCAACACAATGGCTGCGAAAGAGAATTGAGAAAGGTAAGCAGCAGCACACATTAAATAATGTTTTTTTCATTCAGTCTCTCACTTTTAAATTAAAACTCATGATTGTCATATGATCCTGTTGTATTTTTTGTGAGCTGAGGGTGGTTAATTCTAGCTTCCTGGATAAATTTCAATTTGAGTAATTACCTTTTGTGTACTTAACATTCCCCTGAAGGCTAGAAAGGATAATTGTTCTTCTTTTCCCTCCCTAAAATAGTTATGTAATGTTGTTGATGTAAAATGACTCCCCGAATCCATGCTAACAAACTGCTTGATTCTCCTCTGGCAGTACAGAAACGTATGCTAAATTTACAAATACAGCATCTGAAAAGCACTTTGGTTTTATGTCAGGATCAAATACTCTGTAAGTCTTACTTTATTAATATACATACACGTTCAAACTATGCTGAGCAGCATATAGAGACTGCTGGCGATTTTGCCTGGATTCTCAAGTCAAAAGCAGAACAAAACACAGGGCTTTGGTTAAATTCTTGTGTAGAAAACCGTATCACTGGAAAATTGAGGTATTCATCTTCTGAGAACAGGCAGCAATGCTCTGCAGATAAAGTAAGTGAAAGCCAATCTCAAAGAGATTAAGCTTAAAGAATAATAGCAATAACCCCTCCTAAGGAGTTTCTAAAATGAAAGGTATATAGCTAAGAAATTTGAAGTGAGACAGATAGGAAAAATAAAAGCAGACTTCCACTAAATCTCTTTCAGCAATCCCAAGATTTTGTAAGCAATTTCAGACTTGTGGGGTTTGTCAGCAGTTCAGCAATGTGTTTATTTGCTGGGTCTCAGCACTCAACCGCTGAGGTGAACAAGCCTGATTCACAACTACCTCTTTTCTTTCTTTTCTAGGAAAGTTCATGATTAGCTGCCAGTTCACATTTAGATTGCTTTCTTGTCAGCCGTCAGGGCTAAAGCTTCACAGCAAACTTCAGTTTTGATTACCACAGGATAAGATAACGGGAGAAGTTGCAGGATGAGATGATGGAGATGCATGAAGAACACCGCTCACAGGTCATGAGCAAAATCTTAGCCATCTAGGAAAAAAAGCTGTCCAAAAATCAGCACAGAAAATACAAAACATGAGTTCAGCACTGTGCTGGCCTGGTCTTGACAAAAGGCTTACTGAAATCTGGATAAGCCAAACCTTTCAGTTCAATGTAACAGAGAGATCAGTGAGCACGGGATTTTAGTTATGAAGTCTAGATGTTAAAATGAAGACAAAATACAAACTGTAAGACAAAAAACGTCCCCTCCCCCCCCCGCCGGATAGTCATCTCTCTGCCCCTTTCCTGGGAATCTGCTTCTCATCTGTCTGCTCCTACACTCACATCGCCAGCGCTGACCTCCTTCCCATGGAAAAACAAATGTGACTCCTTTGGCGCCCGTTAATTCTTAATGTTGTTGAATGACCTGCTCCACCGATGCCGGCGGGGGCAGGTTACCGCCGGGAGAAGGAGAGCTCGCAGCTCCCAGCCAGGAGGGCACGGCCCCCCTCCCCCTCCGCTTCCCAACCGCGCACCCCCGCCTGCAAAGCGCTGCTGGGCACGCCTCCCCGGCATAAACGATGTACAGGCACCGCCGGCCTGGCGCACGGCACGCGTTATAACGCATACACAACGTATAAATTTTAAGAAGGACGAGAGGAAGATGAAATAAACGCTAATCGGTCAAAGTGTGCGAGCGGTGACCAGCCCGCGCTGCGGCCGCTGCTCCGGACCCCTCGGCCAGCGGAGCCGCTGGCGACGCCCGCAGCCCGCCCTAGGGAGAGCGGGAAGGGGCCGGGGGAGGCTTTTTGTCACACCCCCCCCCCCCTTACCGGTGGCCGCGGCCGGGCCGGTAACGGCACCTTCCCGCCGAGGCGGACCGGCTCCTCCCGCCGCTGGGCCCGCCCGGCCGCGCATGCGGCCCGGGGAGGCGGGGGATGGCCCGACATGGCGCTGGCGGCCCCGCCGCTCCGGCGGTACCTGCTGCTGCTGGCGCAGGAGCACCTCGAGTTCCGCCTGCCGGTGAGCGCCCCGCGGGGCCGGGGTCCCGGCGGGGTGGGCCCGCTGAGGCGGGGGGCCGGGCGGCGCGCTGCACCCCCCCCCCCCGCCGCCCCGGGCGCGCTGAGGAGGCGGCCTGGCCCCGGCGGGGCCTCGCCTCCTGCCCGCGGGCGGCGCGGCTCGGGGAGAGCCCCCGGCGCTGCCGCCTTCCCCCTCGGCCTCGCCGCGGGGCTCGGCTTCCCCTTCCTGCCCCCAGCCTCCTCGGGGTGGCTTTCGGGCAGCGCTCCCCTCGCAGCTCTCAGGAGCCTTTGGAGCTAGGAGAGGTTGCCAGCAAAGTCGCCTGGGGCTCCAGATAAGAAATGGAAACCGGGCGGGAAAAATGGGTGGACAAAAATGTCTTTAAAGCCTCGTTTGGGTGACTTTTTAGTTCGTGGAAACTATGAAGGTGCTCCCGCTGGCGTGGTGTGGGTACATAAAGGAGTGGTGGTGCCCAGGCAAGGGCCTCTCTGTCCCAGGGGCTTACGGAGCTGCGTGAGGCAGGAGGGTGCGGATACCTTCGGTTTTCTGGAGGAAAACTTGGGGGGCAGCGAGGATGGGGCCCCTCCGAAGTCCGCGATGGAACAGAGGTCTCCGAGGTCTTGGCTGGCTTGACCAGCCTCGCTCCGCTGCACCGCACCGCTGGGTGCGAGGACTGCTCGCTCGCCTTTGCGTTTTGGTTCTGAGCGCCTGTTCCCGGGCGGTCAGGAGGGTTTTGTGCCCCACTGGCCGAGCTGCGGGGTCAGGGGGAGTAGACCCGCTTCTGCAGTAGGGTCACAGCTCGTCAGGAGTGGGAGCCAGCAAGTCCTGCCCCGAGTACTGCAGGCTGCTTGCCACTGACACGCTTATGCCGGCCGGTTGCAAAATTTGGGGTGCAGAGTTCAAGTGGTATTCACAGAATTTATTAAAAAATATGTAGTTGTAACTTCTCCGAAGCTCCCTGGTAATTTACATGGCTCCTTGGTGAATGTCTAGCTTAGCATACACTCAATTTCTGTGTTTATAAGAAAACACTTTTGTTTGTAAATTTAACTTATTATTTCTTTTTTCCCCATGATGGTTTACAGAGTTACTACGCATTGTAACAAATTTTGATACTTTACCTGCTCTTGTAGGCACCACCCTGAAGAGCTAGTAGTATGGTATCCAGGGTAATACATTAGTGTTTTAAAATAGTGCTGAAATGCACAGTTATTTTCTTAGAATTGGTAGGTCATCAATGCCTACGTTGTAGAATATCTAATGAATATTGCATCATCTTATTTTCCTTGTTTTCTTTAAGGCTTTCTCTTGTAAATGTTCTTGTTTAGTATCTGCTTTGTGGGACTGGAACATTATTCTATTTATTTACGATCAACCCAATTTTTCTTTAGACCAGGACTTCAGATTAAGTTAAAAAAAAAAAATTATATGTATGTAACATAGAAAGCTTTCATTTTTTTCACCAAGATTGTGGTTGTTCTTGGTTGATACAGCTGCTGAAGTAAGCAGTTCCATTTCCCTGTCCTTGCACTCTGGTGTCTGCTCAGCTGTGTGTTTGGCTTTGTGATGAGCTGCTTTATGGACCTGATTTGTCTGAAAACTTAATGAACCAAGCACGGAATTTTCAGCCAGATCAGTTTCCTGGTCTCCATCTTTACCGTGCCTTCACATGGGATGAGCAGTGCTTTTCTTCTGGTGGTGGTAGGCCGCAACAGCTGAAAGTGTTTCTTGAAGTCCACTTTTGTTCTTGAGTGACTGAAGAATAAAATTCTGTATTTCATATTTCTTGGTCGATAAAAAGCATGCTCTGTAGTCAGGGATCTCTCTTCAGTTAGGTCAGATACTGAGAGGTAACGTCAGGCATCCTGTTTTCCATCACAGTGTGTCTCTAATGGCAGATAGATGCATGCCAAGCATTTTAACAACCTCTTCATGCAGATCCGTTCCAGTGCTTCAGGCTTTACAGTTGGAAGGATCTTCCCAACCTCTCATCCGGAACACTGCTGTGATCTGAGCCTGGAGCTCTCATCTTCTCTGTAGTAAACGTTGAAGACGGATTATTACCTTCCTTTATCACAGCAACCTTTAGCATGTGTAGAGGTCGCAATCGCGTTTC